GAGTTAGAAGAAAAGACTACGTTTATCAGAAATGTACCAAACAATGTAAACAAGCTATAATTTTGAAAAGTTATCCTCGGTCTACTCTGACAATGATCACGTGACTTCTTATTCCTTTATTGAATGTTTCTATTGTGTATGTGGCGCATGCGCACCTTGTCAAAAGGGTTTTTAACTATTTTTTCTCTTTTTGTTGTGAATTCTCGATTTTTACATTTCGATTTAAATCATTTTAAAAACACTTTAAACTAATTCTTTTCAAGCCAATCAAATTGCGCGTCATTTAAAATTATATTATGAGCAAATATCATATAACTGTGAAAAACTCCCGTCACGGCACGGTCACAATAACTGCACAGTCAGGTAACGATAATAGTAAGGTAACGGTCTCTAAGACAGTCACACTACAGTAATGGTCACGGTGCAGACAACGGTCACGAGAAAGCTACATTCACGGTAACGGTCTCTATGAAAGTCACGCTACAGTTAAAGTCACGGTGTCGATAACGGTCACGACAAAATATTATTCACGGTACATTAACGGTGTCTATGACGGTCACGCCTTGGTAATGGCCGCATCACGGTCATAGTAAAGACATCACTACAAGACATTTAACTTATATATGGTAGTACTGACTATGAAACTCGGCATGGTTACGGTATACACGGGAGGAAATAATCATCGGTAGTGCACGGCACGTGTTTCACAGTTCTATGAACGCTGCTACATCCCGCTATTTTACAACGCTGTTGTCAACTCATCAACTTCAAATCCCTTATTATCGTGTGTGTTGCTATGACAACCATCTTGAATGGGGTCTCGATGAACCTCTACGACCTTCGGGGATTCATCTTCTGTTGGCATCTCTATAGATATTTTATCCGGTACATCCCCGATGGTGTTGTTCGCCAGACGGACATTTTCATATTTGTGGTCTTTTACAGGATTCACTGCTTCATAACCAGCGTCGTCATTATCATCCTCAATCCTTACCCCCTCCCCCCTGGGGTTCGTATCTTGACTTACTGTTTCATAGCCAGTATCACTACCTTCTGTCCCATCCCCCCTAGGGTTCGTATTTTCATCCTGATGACTGTCATTAACCCCATTGGTCGGCTTTGGCATGACGTCGTCATACTCGTGCGACTCGTCTCTTTCTACTGACTCGTGAGGCGAAGGTTTGGATTCTTGTTGAGATGTGGTGGCTATGGCAACAGCTATTTCTGGAGAGTGGGGATGGGATTTAGAGTGAACTTCTACTACTGTGGGGGGAGAGGTGGGTCCATTTGCTGTTCTAAATTCACCGACAACATGTAGACTTGGAATATGCTAAAACAACAAATTACGATCAATTTGCAACCAATCACGTTAAAGTCTTTGTCACCTGACTTAAAAATGTCACAATCGCGTGACTGCAGCCTGTTCCTGGTAATCACGTGATAACTAAGGCCTTCTCGCATAAAATTTACTGTTACCATTAATATCAAGATATACATCACATGACCACTAAGATCACATGACACTTTGAACATGAAATAGATCACGTGATATACCACATGACTTCAGGATGGCTGTTGACTGACAATTATTATAATATTATCGTCATTACAATAATTATCATAATTAGTTACACAATCTACTTTATCCAGTTCAATCACGTGACTGAAGCAATGCGTCATGGGGATAAAGTGACAAGGGTGATCTTATCTTGCACGCCTGGGATTCTGGGTTATAACACGTGATTCCGTAAATTGCTATGGTAACGAGTGGGGTGTAGTAACATTACCTTGCCTGGACCCCATTTTGATTGACATGCCTTGACACCAGCCCACATTGCTATGGTAACCAAGATTGAAGCGAGAAGGACTATTGTTCCCATGATAACAGCTTTGTCGGAGTTCTTGCATTCAGCTGGGGGGAAAATAGGGCAAGGACTCAGTTTCTCTCTTTCAGATAATAACAAAATAGGAAGAAAATCGAGAAAGAGGGTAAAAGAAGAATAATGAGAGCGCGACATCCAAAGCAAGAGGGCTAAAGAAGACTCTGACATTAGCAGTCGAAACGTCGCGGTCAACCTATCTGTCTCACTCACAAAGTATAAGTACAATCTTTGATTTATAACCACGATGGATAATCTTTAATTTGAAGGGGCCATTCCTTAGTTTGATTCTCTAGAATCTTACTCAAGTGTTTTAGTTTTTGTCGACTTTGTGTCGACTTTGTGTCCTTTTGCTTTATCACCTGCCCTACGCGAACCGTCAAATAAATAATATATAAGCTATTCTCTCTCCCGCAACTTGTTGAGAGAGAAAGGTTCATGTGAAGGGCATTTCAAGGGAATTAAAGCCTTAGCTCATACCCTGTACGCAAAAACTTTGCACCATACGTGCTTTGGTTTCTTAAGCGATTAGCTCTTGTTTGATAGCTAAAGAAATTACCAATGATCTTTATCTCTGCATGCAGCAGCCGTGTTTATTTCCACGAAAAATAAACAACCTTTGTTCAATTACCATGCGAAACAACGCGGTAAACAATCATGGCTTCCTCGTGAGGAAACAGAAACAGGAGACTTACTATCTTCCCCACAGGCAACACGAATGCCGCTGACCCGTACACCGATGATTATAGCTACCAACGCTGAAAGGACTGTGGCTACTGCAGAACCAATCATGTAGAGAGAAACCTTAAATGGTAAAAACGTTTTTATCAATCGTTAGTTACCCTTCCGATCTGGAGGAAAAGACTGGGTCGAGTTGGCATTGCAGTGCATTCCGGGACAGCATTAAGGACTATATAAAGACCCCTTCCAGCACGTCGGAATGCAGCTCTATTTAGAGGACGTAACAATAGGTTTCCAATTCTCAGGAGATTGAAATTCTTTTGTTTTGTCCTCCAAATTGAGCTGCTTTGACGTCACATGTAAGGGGTCTATTGAGCTGCTTTGACGTCACATGGAAGGGTCTATTGAGCTGCTTTGACGTCACATGGAAGGGGTCTATTTCCAAGATGGTGGCTACTTTGTCTCCTAAAACGTACAACCCCACAACACACTGCAATGCCAAATTGACCCAGTTTTTTTCATAACCTCGGAATGGCTAACAGTTGTTATTACGGCGAGGGCAAAGCGCTATCGTGACTAACTGGGATTGCGTTACTGATAGTTTGCATTAAACAAGGCCTTTCTTGCGTGACTTACCCATATATTTTTCTTAGTAATTCCTGCAAGGACACCAATTAAACCCACCAAAACCACCTGCAAAAAAAAACCGAGCCTGTTACGCAAAACTTGGAAAATTATGAACTGGGTATCAAACGTTCGACATCGACTTTTTTTTTTTGGAATTAATTTTATCGATTGAATAATTTTATAGGACCATACTTCCAGACATAGAGTGCTGAACCGTCGTATGTCAGCGCGAAGCATTTACGGCTACGCCGGAGATTTCGACCCCGACACCGCTATCCCTGGATTTACAGACTGATCAGGAAGCTCGGGCGAAGCCTAAGGGAGAGGTTAGTCGGCCCCTAGACCGTAGATGATTAACTCCTTGCTATGACCAGCATGCCCGATAAGTTGCTTGTGACTCTGATGACTTAGCACCCATAAGCGCTCGTTTCCATGTGGGACGCGACAAGTTTTGGGAAAACTTGTCGCGACGTATATTTACACACAACTTTGAATGAAAATCAAAACCGGATCAATCTCGTACCCAGAGCCTGCGTTTCTTCTGGCCTGCGGCGAAGATTAAACAATCGTTCTTTGCCGCAGGTCAGAAGATACGCAGACTCTGGGTACGAGATTGAAACTGGATCTTAAGGACCTTCATGCGCAAATAATTGTTAAATGATCCTGTACCACGATATACAAAAGAACTTTGAACTTGGTGAGATAAACATACTTATTCAAATCCAGGATAAAAATGAATCCAAGAGTGCGCCCTTCCGGCTGGATATCCGAAAGATCTTAAACCAGCAGGACAAAATACCTTACTTGAGTGAAGGTCAGTTGAGGGGATCATAGTAAATCTCCAAAAATATCTCCTTTCAAAATATCAATGCTGTTATTGGCTGATGTATTGCGCGCGGAATGGTTCAAAATTGTCATTTCGATGTAATTGAATATTTGTTTGTCAATTGCGTTACTTCGCTTGAATGTGTACACTTATCAGTTCATTGTATTACACAAGCACGTTCCATATGTTTTTTGTTTTTTTTGGTCAATCAATGCTTATAAAAATAGTCAATCACCAAAACTCGGTCAATTACAAAAACTCTGTCAATTACAAAAAACTCGGTCAATCACCAAAACTCGGTCAATTCCAAAAACTCGGTCAATTCAGCAAAAAACTCGGTCAATTCCAAAAACTCTGTCGATTACAAAACTCGGTCAATTCAGCAAAAAACTCTGTCAATTACGTAACAATAAGCACGTGTCATATGTCTTTTGTCAATCATCACGCGTAAAACTCTGTCGATTCAGCAAAAAAACTTTGTCGATTCAGCAAAACCTTTTCGATTACGTAACACAGGTAAGCACAAGATATGTCTTTTTTTTGTCAATCATCACGCGTAGCATCCAAAGCTCCTCTCAGTCGACGTCAGAAATACTATATGAAATACCATATTCCATCGTTTTTTTGGTCTTAGTTTGACTGTTAGTCACTAAATACACGGCCGGCCAAGTAAAAGTAAGAGTTAGTTAGCGAGAACAGAGGCGTTTAGCTATATACAGACCGGGGATATATCCGGGGATATATGTATCAAGCATGAACAATACAGTACTGCTCATAATCGCATGGGGAGCTTTTAACATTTCAGGCTTTAACTTAGAAAATAATATATATACTTTCAATGAAACAACGTTCTTGAATCAACCTCAATCAATTTGACAACTCGATTATGAGCAGCACTCAGCTCAGTCTACCTTCTCTCAAAACTTGCGAAGTTAGAAGTTGATATGAAATCTTTTGTCTCATCCTTAAAAGAGACATTCGTCTAGGAAAATCTTAGTATCCTGAAAAAAACCTCTACGAGTAAATTCTTTACCATTATTTATTATGGACAAAATCGCAGCAAAAATCGCAGCAAAAATCGCTAGTGTAAACGGGGCTTTACATGGGTACCTTTCACATATATTGTATGTAAACAAATATCCATCAAAACATGATGTCGTTTCTACGGAGTTCGTACAGTGTCAACAAAACAGAAAGAGTTATTCCGAAATTTTCTGAAAAAGCCATTTCGTATACATATACAGAATTAGTGACTCGGAATTTTTCTCAAGAGCGAGTTATTCAGAAATTTTCTGAAAAAGTCGCTATGTATATCTTATGTTATACAGATTTGTATAACAGAATAACATTCTACTTTATATGCATACCTACGGGCTACAATCATAGTTTTTCAGAAATTTTCTGTTTTTGTATCAGTTCCCCACCTCGGCAGTCAGTGTTAATTAGTTTTCGCATAGTTTTTCGCTAAATTGAGTAGAATCATGTAAAACGATCTATCCTAACAAGAATTATTATCCGAAAAGAAAAAAAAAGATACTAAGATTAGTTTTACGAAGTGGTTCATAAGTTGTTTGGGTATTGCATCATGCAGAGTCGAAACCATCATCAAACGGGATGGCTATGACACGATAATACTCTCACAACTATTAGTTAATTGAATTACATTATGAACGTGAAAAAAATGCGTTATAAAACTACGACAAATAGATTTAAACTAGATGTTAGGGTTAGTATTTCAATTGTTTGCACTCACTGGAGTCGCAGTCCAGAAGGCAGAATATCGATCGAATATTCCACTATTTTCGTCATCATCGTACTTATCTTCGTGGATAACGTACAGAAGAGCGAATATACCACTTCCAAATATGACCATTAAAGCGCCCGTTACGAGGAGCTGGGATGATTTAGCTTGTGATAACGCCGTCATGATTCTGTTTATATGAATAATGAGTGAGCGTGGTCGAGTAAAAATGTCTTTAAGATGAAGGTATTGTTTGACTAAGGCTTAGAGTCGGTAATCAATCACGTTTGGTGTTGCATGGTTCTTGACCTTGGTCGGACCGGATATACCGTTATTTTTGAAATCTCGAAAAGTAAAACTGACTATGTGGCCAACTATGGCGTACGATCCCCGCCAAAATTCGTGCCTTGAATTTGACATTCAAGTTTCGAATTCAACATACAAATTTTACACTCGACATTCAAGTTTCGAATTTTACGCTCAAGTTTTGAACTTCAGCATTCAGGCTTCCCATCTAAAGATCACTGAAGCGTAAACGAAAATATAAAACTCGAGTTGAAAATTTACGAGGTCGAGTTCGAAATATGATGCGGTAAACATCACATAACGAGTAACAAGACGCAAGACGCTCGGGAAGGCGCGAATAAAAATGTCGCCCATTGATGTAAGATACAAAAGAGGAGTTAAAAATTCTCGAACGCTATATAAACTTGAATGTCGAATTTAAAACATGAATGTAGAATATAAAACTTGCATGTCGAATTTAAAACATGAATGTAGAATATAAAACTTGAATGCTGAAGTTCAAAACTTGAGCGTAAAATTCGAAACTTGAATGTCGAGTGTAAAATTTGTATGTTGAATTTGAAACTTGAATGTCAAATTCGAGGCACGAATTTTGGCGGGGATCGTACGCCATAGCCAACCTCGGTTTATCGACCAGTTGTCAAAGTCCTAAAGAGGGTTTGTACTAATTTATACCTCTATTAAGCGACCAACCTCTATTTAGCGACCATTTGTCACAGTTCCAAAGACGGATTGAGCGACCAACCTCTATTTAGCGACCTTTTCTCTTAGTTCCAAAGACGAACTCCGTATTTATACCTGTATTAAGCGAATAAACCTGTATTAAGTGACCAGTTATCAAAGTCTCAAAGAGGGTTTCTGAACATTTTTTAACCACTATTTTAATAATTCAATAATATTTTATTATTTAATAACAAATTAAAAATAGCTCAATATTTAAATAAATAAGAAGCAGCCTACCACTATTTGACAACCCAAAGCGGATATTAGGCATAAATTTTTACGCACGATTCAAAAAAATAACCCATTTATTTATTGTACAATTTGATAGACCATTATTCAAATTCCAAATTACCGCTGTGTTCTTTAGCAAAGACTCATTTACTCAGGGTTAGCCTCGAATCAGTGTTTAAATATTCAAAAATACCAACGGTAAAGTAAAGAATGCATAACTTCAACAATACAAACACTTTGAAATACCACGGACCTTCACTGGAACACATGAATATTCTACACAAAATGGAGGCCAACCCTGAGCAGCAGAGAACTCGTAACTGGAGTATTTCCCACCATCTCTTTTATTTTATTTTATTTTTTTTCAATAACCATTCATCCATTCATATCCTATTACTGTAATGCATCCGTTACGAGTCGGAGGACAGAAAACAAATAATATCAACAAACACAACCCACAGCACGCCAATACACACGCCAATACTACAAGAACACTGTAAGGCATGGGAACATCCTGGACTCTGCTGGACCTCTTTTGGCGGGGTTTCATTCGTCCATTAGGAAGGGGCAGTCTTCGATGGGGTGCACGACGCTCTGCTTTATGACGTGCCCTGTGAATTGATCAAAGACATTCGTAACATTAGAGAGATATTCAGTATAGAAAGAAATAAAAACAGACAGACAGACAGATAAACAGAAGGACAGACAGATAGACAGACAAACAGATAGATTGAATGCACAAAAGTTTAAGAAAGAAAAAAAGAAAGAAAGAAAGAAAGAAAGAAAGAAAGAAAGAAAGAAAGAAAGAAAGAAAGGAGGGAAGGAAAGAAGGAAGAGAGAAAGAAAGAAAAACAGACAGACAGACAGATGGAATGCACATAAAGTTAGCTAAACAAAATTGCACAAAATAATGAGGTGCAGTCTTACTTGTAGGCTTTAGGATAACATTTCTTTATTTCTTTTCTGATTTCTGAAGAAAAAATATTATAATCATTTAGGAAGCTAATTATCAAATTTATCTCTCTTATAGAGGTTTTGCACCATCACGCACCGGCAACCATGTTAGATGGCAGAACAATAAAATCTCTTTGCTCTTGGGAATTGAATACTTTCTTGTAAAACAATTGTATTGTTCCTGCCAACTAACATGGCTGCCGTCACGTGATGGTACGAGACCTCCAGTGTGTATAGAGCATTATTTTTCATTCACTCTCTGGAGAGTTAACTGACAATAGAGATGGTGGTCATATAGGTGTGGTTATGGTGTTACACCAATAAGGTACACCAATATGGCCGTTGTGACGTCAAGTTAAAGGACTCCAAATGTCACATATTCCTAGCTTCACCCCTCTTCCATTCCATTTAAACTGTATAACACTAACAGTTACATACCAATAGCAGCATAAACATAGTAGACTGCCTTCCTACACAGAGGACATCTCAGTACACTGTGCCGGCTTTTAGAGTTTAAAATCCGCAGACATGAGTCACAGAACACATGACTACAGGGACACATGAGGGGGTCGTACAGCAGGTCCAGGCACACAGGACATGTGACTTGGTCTGGTATCTCTTCCAACTTGTGGTGGAGCTTGTGCTCATCAGAATGGTCTGCTGTTTTCTAAAAATGATTTTACGTTTTATCTGTAACTTGTCTTTATTTGCGTGTTCTATTGAAGCTTTTAAAACTCCATGTGACTTTAGCCTTTTAAACTTGTGATTATACAAATTGCACTCCTACTCCTTGCTATGCAGTCATGTAATTTTGTAATCCCTTGTTTGATTTCAGACCCAATTGCACTCCACTCAGTTCAATTACCACTTAATCATATCTATTTTGAAATCTCCTGCAATAATAATCATTTTAACATTAAAAATTTTAATGTAAAAATTTCATCTAGAAAATCCCCTTCAATTTTTTGCCATGCTTTTCTTTCATTCTTTTGTTTCTGTGATGTGATTGGTCAAATGACCTGTTTTCTGTAATTGAATTGGCTCTTCAAAAAAGTGCAATTTATAACTCATAACGGTAAAATTAATRATTAAATCACACTGCTGAGAACCAATCAGATTGCAGGAATGACCAGTGAATATGAAATGCATATAGTTAGAGTAAGAATTCCTTACTATTACCTCATCAAAGTCATGATTCTGTTTCATTTCTTCCAACATTTCAAACCTTGAACCATCATCTCTATCTAAACATCTGCCATGAAGATGACTGGATGGCACTTCTTCAACGTGTTCATTCGTTGAGGAAAATTCTCCATGTTGAAACTGCAAAACTTCTGCATTGAACTTCTTTTGTCTATTAATCTTCCTTCTATGGATTCTACGCGATTCAGCGACATGACTCAATTCAGTACATGATAATTGTGAAGGATTTTCCTTCCCCTGCATTGCGCTGGAGGAGTAATTTCTTGTCCTTTTTTCGGAAACTTTTAGATTGATGCCATTATTTGAATCTCGATTAGAGTGTTCACGTCTTTCAGGACAATTCGTGAGCTCTGTTTGTCTAGAGTCTATTTGATATCCTGAGTTCAATGTTTCTAATCCTATTTCCTGTTCACAGCAACATGACCTACATGAATATTTCACTTCCTTGTCAAGCAATGATTTATATTTTCCTAAGTCCATTTTCGTTTGTGAACCAGATTCATTTGTCTTTAATTCTGATTGACCACTGTCAGAACAGGTTTGACTAGACTGAGAACCAGTTTGACTGGATTCCATATAATACATAGGACTTCTATCTTGGGTATGACTGTCTCCATCGCTGTTATTATCAGGGTTGTCAGGTAATCTTATGTTTGGCTTGGAATCACAGGCACTAATCTGATCTACTTTACATTTTTGAAACCATATTGCAGGGATTATATATGTAAAACAACTGCATCGAACTCCTTGGGTGAAGTTGAATGAGCCAATACGTGAGGTACATTTAGGGCAGTAGAGCTTTCCTTCTGTCCACTGAGACTGAAAGGAAGACAAATGAATATCATCATCATCATTATCATCATCTTCATGTATAATCATCACCTTTATCATCACCTTTATCATCATGTATCATCATCATCATCTTCACCATTAACATGTATCATCATCATGCATCATCATCATGTATCATCATGTATCATCATCATGCACTATCATCACCTTTGTCATCATCATCAAGTATTATCATCACCTTTATCATTATTATCATAACCATTATCACCATAATGTACATATATCATCATCATTAACATAATATGCCATAATCATTGTCACCATTGTCATGTATCATGTGTCATCATCATCATCATCACCATCATCACCATCAAAATCTACAAATTCATCATTCAATAAACCTACTTTATTGACAGCCTCCTTGACCCACACTAATGTATCTCGTCCCGCACTGCCATCGATTTCATCGCTGTCAATGTACCAAGCAGAACACTGATCTACTGGCTCTGTCTTCTTGTGAAAAGGACTCAGATTATCAAAACAAAACAAATAAACACGACATTTACGACAGCGAAATGTGTCTCCAACTGAAGCTCGCTCGTCGGGGAACTGACAAATCTCACTCATAACGAGATTCCTGAAAATTTTCACTGTTAAAAATTTTTGAAATAGAAAATTTCTTTACAATCTGCATCATTCTAAGATATCTTAGGTAGACTTTCCACGATAACGCATCTATGGTTTCAGATTAATAAGGCGCATCATTTCTCAAGAAAAAGATAGAAAATCCCGCTAGAAAATGGAAACGCTACAACCATAACAAGTTCCTCTTCCGCCATCTTGTCTTTACGCGTGCGGCATTCTGGGTAATACTAGAAATCTTTTTCTCTTTCACAAATTTAGAATTATTTTTCATTAGAAAAAAGCAGTGAATTAAATATCCTTTACTATCTTTTTAATTGTCTTAAACTCTTTCCTTTCTTTTATTTTCTTAACATTTTATTTTACAATATTTTTCAAAATATTTATGCGCGCAAAGGTTTATGGGATTCCGGCTCACTTTGAGTCAGCGGTATCACTCGTAAAATCAAAATGGCGGACGAAGAAGCATTTCTTGAACATTCAATGAACAGCAATGATAACTCTATAAATAACCAAGAAACAGACGAAGAAAAGCTAGAAAAATTACATATTAGGAAGGTGGTAGAAGCGTTTTTGTTTTACAAGTAAGTAAAACAATATTACTAATGAGGCAAATGAGTTAGGATTTTTGTGGTATGGATGTCAAATAATTTAAACATCTGTTTGGCATATTTTGAAGAAGAGTTACTATAATTCTGTTGTCTTCTTCCTCCAGAGAATATTCTTTAAGGAAAGTAGATAGAATTGGTACCTATTTTGACCAGATTCCCAGACATCACCGTAAAATGTTGCCGGATTTTACCAGGCATTTGAGGGAAGTAAAGAGATGTATTGAAGTCAATCAAGAATTCCTGCGAAACATTGTTAGCTGTACAGAAGGGATGTTTGAGAATAGAGATATGGAGCTGAATGTAAGTACAGGGATTTAGGTATAAAGATTAAGAAATATAGCTTAAAATCTAAAGGTTATTTAGAGGAGCTGTGTCCTGAAAGGGGGGGGGGGGGTCCTAATCCCATTTCCCAGCCCCAATTTTGACCAAATCCCATAGTCCCAGCCTATGTTTTGCTCAAATCTCAATCCCATTCCTATTTTTTGTTTGTTTATTTGTTTGTGAATCCCCTTCCCAGTGCACAAAATCCTATTTTCCCAGCCAAAAAAGGGCAACTCTCAGCTCCCATTTTACCCCTTCAAGACCCTCTTAGCTGGGTAGCTGTAAACATAGAACTGATAGAATAAACTCTAGCCAAATTACTCCCTAATTACTTCCAATCCATTTTCTGTATAATGTGTAGTTCCAGAAATTATCCATACCCACCCCACAGAGGAATTTGGAATTTCCAAAGAGTGAGGGGGGAATTAGAGAAAAAACAAGAATTACAGAGATTGTATGGAAGAAAATTGGAATTTCCAGGGGGTAGGGAGTAGTGTCTTAAGAAAGTTCCTCCTTTAGGAGGGTATGAATAATTTTTGGAACTACACAATAGAAGGTGCATGGACTTAATTAATTTCATTGTTATAATTATTATGTTTAATTATTACACCCTCATGATTATTTGTATCACAATTATCATCTTCATTATCATCATCATGTATTAATCGTTAACATCATAATTGTCATTAACACCATTATGATCATTATCATTACAATCACAATCATCAACTCCATGATCATCATTATCATCATGTATCAATCATCATCATCATTATCATCACCATCATCA